ACTCTGGGGTGCTCTATCACGGAGAAACATCCCCAACCCATTTTATTTTATTTTATTTTTTTAATTTTTAAACAGGGCCTTATTAGGTTGCCAAGGCTAACCTCAAACTTAGGATCTCCTGCCTCAGCATTCCAAGTAGTTAGAATTATAGGCTTGTGTCACTGTGCCCAGTCAGAATACATGTTTTTTTTTTTTTTTGGTACTAGAGATTGAAGCCAGGGGTGCCTAGTCACTGAGAAATACCTCCAGTCCTTTTTGTTTTATATTTGTTCCAAGACAGGGTCTCAATAAGCTGCTTAGGACCTCCTAAATTACTGAGGCTGGCTTTGAACTTGCTATCCACTTGCCTCACCCTAAAAAGCCACTGAGATTATAGGCATGTGCCACCTGCATCTGGTTTACTTCTTTTAAATTAAACAAATATATTATCTTCCAAATGATCCAAAATCTTATAGTGATACTCAGATTTATATCATCAGATTTATATCTCACTCTGCAAGTCTTAATAGCTTATGGGAAAATTGGCGTACACATAGTTTCTTACATTTGTAATATCCAGTTTCAGTTTGTTATAGGGACTTAAAATTAGAGAAAAAAGAGAATATCACAATAAGAGTGTAGCAATAAAGCATCAGGAAGACACATTTTAGATAGGAACAAAGATGCCCATCCCACAGAGCCCACCAGAACTACCTTTTCCCAGGCTTAGCATTCACCCAGTACAGTATAATGAGAAGAAAATGGGACAATAACCACAGTCCAATTGGGTGTATTCCAGCCAAATACATGTGAACTATATCGCAGCAAAACTTCTAAGGATTTCAGCAAAAAAGGAGCTTCCTCTGTTGGAATACTAAACTGATATCTCCATAATTTGATTGAGGGATCTTAACTAGTTGAGGTAAAATCACAAAACAGTTTAGTTTTTGTAATAGAGGTATCAGTAGTGCTTTATCTATCATCCCCCACTCCAAGCACAATTCCTACTCTATATAGGCTTCTTTAACTGCATTTCTGTCTTTTCCTCCAACTTTTCAGTTTCTATTCATCCTAAAATGCTAATCTCACTTTTTTTTTTTCTTGGTACTGGGGATTGAATCCAGGAGTGCTCTACCACTAAGCTAAATCCCCAGTCACCCCTTTTTTAAAATTTTGAGACAGGGTCTTCTTAGTTGCTGAGGCTAGCCTTGAACTTGCAATCCTCCTACCTCAGCATGCTGTAACTGGAATTTCAGACATGGGCCTCCACACCCCTGACCTAATCTCACTTTTGATTCATGGTTCTCCTCATCCCTCCAGGGCAGATTAGAACTGCATCTCCTTGGGTATGGAATATGTGTGTGGAAGAGAGCTGTTCTTTTGTTCAATATTTCACCACCTTCCCTGTGTCTGGTTTGAGGGTTTGAGAGTTTAGAGGAGGGGAATAAGAAAACATCCATTTACCTGAATAACTATGGAAAGATACCCCTATGTAATTAATTATCAATGAAGCTCAAGTTATAGACCTCACTGATTAGGGCTCACATGCAAGCTGCTTCCTGATGTTCAGTGGCATCTTGGGCCACATCTTGCTTATGTCTTCTAGATTATGATCCTCACATGACATTCTTTTCATCTTACTCTGTAACAGTCTCTCAATAACTTTCCTTTCCCAAGCTCCAACTTTGGAGCCCACATGCATAGTAGGGTTTATTTTTCATACCTTTTCAGAATGGAGAATTTTGGAAGGAGGGAATCCTGGCTGTTTCCATGTCTGGCCACACCACCACGTTATTTTTTCACAGTGTTCTTTCTAGGCTCCTATAGCATCTAGGACGCTCAACTATCCCACTATTAAAGTAGATCCATCAGAGGTATGAGACACGAACCACATCATCTTGCAGATTTCCCTAAACTTTTTGGGATATTTCTTCTAAGTCTCCACTCCCTTGGCTTTGGGGAAAAAAAGCCAATTGGACACTTAGCAGCACTGTGATAGGAGACAAGAATAAGGAATAGGTTCTTCTTCACTATTCTTCCCCAAATGTGAACTCAGTCTCTTTCCCATTATTATACACTAAATATTCCCAAACTCAGAATCTGACTTCCATCTAACTTGACCTTGAAAATTTTGTAGTTCTGTTCTCAACAGGTTTTATCTCTATCTCCAACTCCTCAGAAAATGCCAAGGCCAGGAAAAGAGCTCATATCATTTTAGTAAACATAATAGCATTTCTAGGATAATTTTTATCTATCTTTAAAACATTTAGTTCATTATAAGCAAACTCCTATAAATTATAAATCTGATCTAGAGAAAAATATGCATATGTATGTTTTCATCCAAGAAAAGACAATGGCTTCAAACAAAAGACTTATTGAAGGTGGGTCAAAAGGACAATAGCAAGGCATGCATCCAAAGAAAATTAAAAATCCATTTACTAAATGTCATTTCAAACTGTTATATCACAATGACTTCTCTTCTTCCAGGGGATTCTTTCTAGGTAATTCCTAATTTTCATAAAAGCTTTTCTATTTGCTCTACATACAGTCCCTAAAATGAAAAGAAACCAATTAGCCTTAGTACTGGATACATTCATTCCACAAATATTCACTAATAATCTACTTTATACAAGAAACTCTATAAGTCACTAAGTATGCAAAGTAAAACAAAACAGATGTGTTTTCAGTGCTTGTAGATTTTACAAATAGATCTACCTAGGGAAAGAATCATATCATTACCCTCCTTCAAATCTTGCTAGAAACCACCCAACAACAGTAAAAAGTTATGAATCAACTTGAACTTTTGTGGTACTAGTGATTGAACCCAGGACTTTGTGCATGCTAGTCAAGTACCCTACCACTAAGATACACTCCCAGCCCCCACCCCTTTTTTTAGTATGGGGGATTGAACTCAGGGGCACTTGACCACTGAACCACATCCGCAGCCCTATTTTACATTTTATTTAGAGACAGGGTCTCACTGAGTTGTTTAATGCTGAGGCTATCTTTGAACTCACAATCTTCCTGCCTCAGCCTCCCAAGCTGCTGGGATTACTGTTGTGTGCCACCATGCCCAGCACCCCCAGCCCTTTTTATTTTATTTTGAGACAGAGTCTTGCTAAAGTTTCCCAGGCTGGCCTCAAAGTCGTGATCCTCCTTCCTCGGCCCCCTGAATAGCTGAGATTATAGGCATGTGGCTATGAGTCAACACTTATTGACAATTTACTAGGTTCTGTGGTAAATTCTTGATTAGTGTACTTATATTCTCCTAATAATTCTTAGTTCACAGAGGAAGCACAGAGACCTTGATAAGTACTTGTCTCAAAGTAACACATCACGTAATCCCTAGACTGCATTTGAATCCAAGCTTGTTTGATACTGTAGCCAGTTCCTAATCTGAATCCTTTCAGACAATATCATTAATACAACAATCTAAATGATGTTAAATAACCTAAATTTGGCCTAAGGATGCCTCCCCACTTGAGCCTTTACATAACAAACTGCAGTCTAACTTATTAAAACAATTAAATGGAAGCTTAATTTAGGGGTAATCTTTTTTAAACATATAGCTGAGTCTCAGCCAATCACAGCATCTCAACTTCAGACAACAGCAGAGGACCAATTGTACAAACCATGTTCAAATAAGGCAAAGATCAAGCTGTAACTAATTAAGCTGTCTCTGTACCTCACCTCTGTTTTCTGTACATTTCCATTGTTTGCTCATAAAATGCTGCCTGACCTTGTTGAAGACCAGAGTTTCTTGGCTCAAACTCTGCTAAATTTAATTTGTCTAAAGTTAAAAAAAAAAAAACAAACAATTAAGAGTTGTTAACTGTGAGACATAATCCTGGAATCTCCTATGTTCTTTTAAAAACAATTATTGGATGTGATTTTGTAACTTGAGCTTTTGGAGCTATATATTAATATGTCTATGTATCTCTAAAATCATCCAGAACCTGAAACTATGCACCACGCCTATATACTTCCTTTCTTCAATGTTCCACCTAGTTTGTCAGGGTAGGAGATTATTCAGGACTTTGGGGCCAAAACTAGAGGCAGTCACCATCTGGTCTGTTTTATCTCAGTGATGTACACAATGCTTTGTTTCCTTTATTATAAACAATAACTAGTATAACTTTTATAACATTACTGCTTTCCTAAAGATCTCTATTTTCCAGTGTGACAATCTTTTTAAAAAGTAATTTCAAGTTTGAAAACAGAAACATTTGCACTCAGAGTGAGTTTAAATCTCAAATTTACTTGCCTCACCAATATGCTGCTTATTTCTAATATTTTTGAAACATTTGCACCAAAAGGTAGATGGCCTTGGGACTAATTTCCACGTGTATATACTTAAATTCAGAGCTCATTCTAAGAAAATATTTGTTGGGGTGGTTTGGAAGGTTTGGAAAGGAAAGCAGGGAATAAAAACGCTCCTTTTCTATGATGACTGTGGAATCAAAAACATCACATAAAATTACATAAAATGGTCAAGATCTAATAACTGGAATTTTCTCTGAAGATTTACTTTAGATCATTTTGAAAACATTAACCATATTCAGAAAGAGTCCCCCCTTTTTAAAAATAAATTTTTGAAACAGGGTAGTACAATGTGTTTCAAAAGTAGTGTTGATGTTATGCAGAGCCTAGAGAAAATATTTTCTGTGTTGTACTGGTCAACATAAACAATGAGTTTTTTCATTCTGCAGGATGAGGCATTTCTTTCAAAAGGAAAACTCATAATCCCTAATTTTCTGAGGTGTGCTTTTCTTTTTCTTTTTTTTTTTTTAAGGAAAGAAATACACGTAGCTCATTCGACCTCAAGGTATATGCACAGGGGGATGGGGAGCAGGGAAAAGCACGTAGCTAAGGAGACTGGAGAAAAGGCAGAAAAGGCTAAACCAAGACCCGAGGTGGGAGGGGGCGGTGGAGGATGAGACAGATCCTCCCTAGTAACCAGAAAAGGGCCAACTCCAACCACAAGATGGTGATGCCACTTGTGGGGCCTCAGATTGGAGAGCACCGAGATGAGTGACAAGCAGTGTGCACCCAAGGCACTGCTCAGACAGGCGGTGTGTGTGGGGTGCTGTGTGTGCGCATGCATGTGGCAGGGGGCGGGGGGGCCTCCTGCTGCACTGTCCGCTGGAGATGGGGGGCGAGTTTCTTGGTGACGCGCGGCCCTCACGTGACCCGGAGCTGCAGAGCGACGCAGCCCAGGGTGCAGTCGTCACTCGCGTCTGGCTACCAGCTCCCCGCTGCCCTGCGCACGGCGGGCTGGCAACGGGCCCGGGGAAAGCGGAGCAGGTAAGGGCCCTGGGGCCCGCGCGTAGCGGCCAAGCCAGCAGCATCTTGTAGGCCCAGCGCGGGTGCAGGAGGACAGCGCGGCGGACCCCCCTGCTTTCTCCACACCCCAGCATTCTAGAGCACATAAATAGTGGCGCCCTGGCGTCGGGGTGCAGGGCGGCTGAGGCACGGGGGAGGGGCAGCAGAGCAAGTAAGAGCAGAGGGAAAGCACTCTGGAGTCCTGCGAGGAAAAATGGTGAACGCCGCGGGGGGCGGGGCGGCTAGGGGAGCGGGGCGGGGTGAGGGCTGTGAGGGTACCGGAGCGCCGCAGGGAAGGGGCCGGGGGCGGCGCCCAGTGCTCTGCTGCAGCTGTCTCAGCTCCCCCTAACCTCCGATTTCTGCAGGTCTGCGGGGCCCAGTGTCGCGGCGGCGCGAATCCGGAGGAGGGGAAGAAGGCAAGGATAGGCCCAGGTCGGTGCAAGGGGCAGTGCTTGGGGGGCGGTGCAAAAATGCAATCTGAGACCCCCAACCCTAAATGGGCCCTCCTCCCCACCCCCGCCTTCCACCTCATCTCTATCCTCCATTTTGGTGCCTGCTGAGCTCTGGGAAAGAATCCTGGGAAAGGAAAAATGGTGGGCTTTGGGGGAGGAGGAAAGAGAAGAGAGCTGGAGGGAGGGGCTCAAATTGGAGGCCCCCTAGAGGACGCGTGGAATTTCTAAGGTGGGAAAAAAATGAAATTTTAAAACCCTTCATATCTGACTCACAATCCTGCTTGTCGATGCACCAAGCATTCAGTCTGTCTCCTTGCCCTTGTCTTACTTGTGTTCAAAGAAAAACAACCAGAAAAAAATCTCATCATGGCAAATATCCATCAGGAAAACGAAGAAATGGAGCAGCCCGTGCAGAATGGAGAGGAAGACCGCCCTTTGGGAGGAGGTGAAGGCCACCAGCCTGCAGGAAATAATAGACGGGCACAGGCCCGCCGACTTGCCCCTAATTTTCGATGGGCCATACCCAATAGGCAGATCAATGATGGGATGGGTGGAGATGGAGACGATATGGAAATGTTCATGGAGGAGATGAGAGAAATCAGGAGAAAACTTAGGGAGCTGCAATTGAGAAATTGTCTGCGTATTCTTATGGGGGAGCTCTCTAATCACCATGACCATCATGATGAATTTTGCCTTATGCCTTGACTTCTGCCATTTTCCATGAGATTAATACTGTGATTCCCACTGTTTTCCTTTTCCTTGCATTTTCCTGATATGCCTTTACTGATCTGTTTGCTGTGAACCTTATGTTATTTCCATGTCTCAAGTGGGTCTTGCGTTGCCAGCTTCTGACTGAAGATTGCCTTTGCACCCAGCCTAAGTTTCTGTCAACAGTAGAGTTTTACCCATTTGCATGGAAAAATGTAAAGTTAATAAAGCAGTTAAAATCAATCTAAATATTTATTGTCTCATTAAAATATATGCACACACATATAAATATATTAACTAAAAATACATCAAATTCTTAATTTGGGCACATTTCTGTGTGGTATGTGGCTAAGATGATGCATGACTTTCTTTTTTCTCTTTATTACCTGGAGTTTGAAAGGCAAATAAAATATTTTATCAGTGAGTTTATGAATGCAGTGCAGGTATGTAATAATCAATCAATAAACTCAAAGAATAAAGCTGCCCTTTATTAGACACATTCAGTTAAAGAGTATACTTTCTCTTCTGTGAAACAGGGAACAATGTTTGTCTTGAAGACTGCCAAGTGGAATAGGTGAAGTATGGAACTGTGTGTTTGGTGGGCTCCTGTCTGATTCCCTAATATTTAACTGGACATATCAGGTACTTGAAGAGAATTAGAGTGTTTTCACCCATGCACATAAGTCCATACAGCAAAAATTAGTGGGTTCCCCCATGTCATTCCTCTGTTATTGGCAGCCCTACTCCTCTGATTACTGCAGGGTAATTGGTATACATTTCCTTCTTGAGTCCTGTTTTGGTTTTTATTGATGACATAACTGTATTCCTCAAGGTAAGCCCACCAATTTATCTGGAGGCCCTTGTGAACCAAATTTCCTCATTAACCTCTATGGATGCCTTCATAGCTTTAGACTTTAATATTTAATCAGGTGAGTACAGTTCCCCTGGTTCTTGGGCTTACAGTGGTTCTTAACAAAACAAGCATTTGATTCTTTTTATGCCCCTCATCTTCAAAGAACTCAGTCATAAATGCACTGAGGCCTAACTCAGGAGATACATCTAGGTGTCTTACTAAATTGTGCCCACAATTCGATTACTGTAAACCTCCTGAATCCTTTATTTTTGCCTGTGTTTCTATCCTTGCTGTGGATTTTCTCAAAGAGGATTCATGGCAGGCCTGCCCATACAGACATGTAAATAACATTGGGGGAACACATTTTCCTTAAAGATAAAGCACTCCCTCCATCCCATCCACTTGAAACATAAAACTGCTTGCAAGCTCTTAAAGACCTATGTTAAATATTTAGCATTATGATTTTAAATATAAATTTATGCCCATCTCCAAACTGATTTTTGTCTTATATATCCTGGAGTTCAGTTCCAAATACAGTGGCTGACAGCAGATTATTAAATTATTCATTATTTTGATTAATGAACTATAATGGAATTAGAAACCCCACTGAATACCGTTCTTAATTGATTTCTTAAGTGGCCAAAGGCAAGTAATAATACATATCTGGGAAGAATTACAGTTAATTTCCAAAGGAACCCAGCAAAGGAGTTTTCTAACCCAAAATTCAAACTTTCAAAAAGTTCTTATTCTTTACTTTCATACACCTTTTTCTTGCATCATAATTACCTAGGAAAATAAAAAAATTCTGACACTTGGGTGCCCTTCCTACCCCTAACACATTTTTGCCACTCTCTAAATTAGGAATTATTGTTTTGGCAATTCCTCAAGGATTCATGCATCTGAGGGTTGACAACATAGACACAGAACTACTTGTAGGAAGTACTCCATTTTACCAATGTTATGATCTGAATTAACTAACTTGATTCCACAATGAATATACTTTTCCAAAATATAAAGTTGGACTACATTAAGTAATCAATGCATATCTACATTTTAAATTTTTCTAAATAGCCTATTAAATTTGTGCATTATTATGAATTATTACTAATAAATGTATAATAATTATAATTATTGAGCAAAATATGCATTATCATTTTTATGTAGGCTAGTGGCCTCTCACAATATTTGGTTTTAGTCACCTGAACCTCAAGTTTCTTGCACAGTATATAATACTGTAGATAATTTAATAAGATAGTAATACACGTATTTGCCCATTTATGAATTTAGTTATTAATTAAATTTCACAATTATAATTTAACTGCAATTATATGTAACAACGTTTTTGTGTCTTTGTGGGTGGCTTATTTTTTATACATATGTAAAGTTTCYGTGAATAACATTTTAAAATGTAATAATTTTATAATTCTTTGTGTAATACTAGGTCATTATACATCTTTGAATTATGCTTAACATGTAGGAAGAATATAACAAAACCATAACCCAATCATCTAAAGGCATCAATTGTACATTATTTTATACTCATCCTCTATTTAGTCATTATAAAGCCAGGCTCAGAGCCTCTTTTGTGAAGTTCTTCCCTTTTCAAACCCCCTTCCAAGAAAACATGTTCAGTTTAAAATGTTTACTGTTTTAACTCTCTCCACTCATCAATGATTAACTTTCAATTACCTCTTTTTCAAGGTTGAAAATCAGGAGCTAAAATGCTGTTGTACACGCCATCACATTTCCCCAAGTTCCTACCCCGTTGATAAATTTAGGAACATAAAATAGATACATTTGCTTAACAGAATAGTACAGAAATATTATGAAACTTGAAAAATATTCCAGAATTAGGAAAAAGACTAGAGTACATAAATTAAATGGACAGGATCCCATGTGTGTTCTGCCTCCTTTCCTGACATCACATATATCATATAATAAACATACTGATCTGATTTAAAAACTTTTGAAAATACAGCATTTTATATATTGCTATCTCATATATAATCAGTCATGATACTTTTTAAGAATATGTCACCAAATGAGTTAATCATCAAAATTAATTAATTTTTAATAATTAATTTTTATTTTTAATTTCCCCCAGACATTATTTGAAAAATTACAATTAGCATGTTTAAAAATTTACTCTCGACCTTGGAACTGATGGAAAACATTTTTGATTTCATAAAAATAAACTAGCTGAATTTCTTATGAAGAAATTTTCAACTGTATGTACATTAAAAAGAATAATTTCTGCAGAAATGGAAAGAATTTTATTGTATTTCTATTGTAAAGTAATGCATTCTAAAGTGGCTTTTGTTGTTTTGAAACAGAAGATATTATGGAAATTTAATAATCTTTTCCTGAGATCACATGAGTGCCAATTAATTTTGTTTTTACCTATTTTTTCCTGGAATTATTATTTAGTGTTTAACTGGTTTTAAAATTTATTTTTGAAGGAGCTAACTATCATGTCAATCAGAGTCAAAGACCCTGTCAAACTTTATAAAAACTTGTTTGAAAAGCAAAAACAAGAATAATGAATTTCAGATTATATCTGCACCTTTTAGCTGGTAATATAAATTTAGTGTTTACCTACTTATTACTTAGTGTTAATTGTATTCGTTGATAAAATGGAAATAATCATTTCTAGAGCTTCTGGGGGAACCAAAGGAGGTAAAAAGCATGTGATCTATTTGCTTCTTGTTTTTCATTTGCACATGCAGAAACCAAGTCCTTCAGAATTACTTCAGTTGTTCAGAATAACATCTAAACTGTTCAGGCCTTGAATCTTTTTTTTTTTTTTTTAAACTTTTTTTTTAAATATTTATTTATTTTTTTAAGTTATTGGCGGACACAACATCTTTGTTTGTATGTGGTGCTGAGGATCGAACCCGGGCCGCATGCACGCCAGGCGAGCGCGCTACCGCTTGAGCCACATCCCCAGCCCAAGGCCTTGAATCTTCCTAGCACAAAGAAATGATGTTTGAGGGGATGAATATGACAACTACCTCAATTTGCTCATTATCTATCCTATACATGGATTGAAACATTACATTGTATCCAGTATATGACTATTATTATTAAACATAATTAGAGAAATTTTTAATTAAAAATAAAATATATATTTAAAAACAATAAATAAACTGTATGTCACGATCCTAGTCCAATCCTCTGCTATTATTGGACACTCTCCTTTCCTCAATTCTGCACTTTTCATAGGCCCTCATTACTACAGAATTCTCTATAGACATTTTAATGTGCCAATGGCTAGTTTATCTCCTACAGAGGCATGTTTAAAGACCTTCTATCTGACTTAGAGTTATACTAGTTTAGGTAGGTACTGTCTTAGACCACGGTATATTGTATATTTTTAGTGAAATAAGTCTTTCCCTCAGTTTGTATTTGTGCTTTGTGTGTATGTACAGTAAGCTCCCACTTCTCCAAAACATTCAAATATTTGAGTCTGTTTTGCTCTTTTTTCCCCCACTCTGAAAATTTCTGTCATGTAAATAGAGGGCTTAACCAGTAGTCATTTAAAATAATTATCAACATGATTTTCACACAATCATAATCAATGCTGTTACTTTTTAATATTTTTTTCTATTTTATTTGAATTGTTTCTATTGCTATGTCTTTAGGATTGTATTTTTTTTTCTTCTGTGATGTCTAATCTGCCATAAACCCCATCTAGAATTTTTTTTTATTTTGGATGTTGTATTTTTAGGTTCTTGATTTTAAGTTTTGTAAGTCAGAATCAGAGTTGTGTTTAGATTAGGGTTAATTGTATAGTGCTAATGAGGAAAAACCTTGTGAGGACTCGATTGTTGTCCTATGAATTATGAGGCCTTCAAATCAGGCTAGTGTACTGTTCTGAATTTAATTCTTCTGGGTGGATTGTTTCTTGGTGCAGGGTTGTTTCCCACAGGCATGCAAATGTTACCACTGTTAACTAATTGGGAGGCCATTAGACTGAGATGGCTCTAATACCCTCAATTCCTATGTAAATAAACTGAAACCCAACTCATAGTGAATGTACCATCATAGCTAGTAAAATAAAAGACTTAACCAATTATAAACTCCCAACTAACATTTAGCTAGAGGATTTACAAATCAGAAACTGCCAACAAATTTCTAATGGGGGACTTTTCACTTTGGCAAAGAAAAGAAAAATTCTCTTGCTTTAGCAAACACCATATAAAAGCTTGGGAAATGGTGAACTCAACCTGAGCAATTGAGACACATGAATAGCATCCTAGGGCTGTATCTGGAGTGTAAGTACCCACAGGTAGACTACTTTGGCAAAAAAATCATCATTTAACATTTTCAATATTTACTATCTAGTTAAAATTTAAAATCACGTTAATAATGTATATCCCAACCAACTACATGGTGAAAACACCTGTTTCTGCAGATCTGTGCAATAATGTGTTTCCCAACATTATTAATAT